CGCCGAGTGCATGGGTCGGGAACTCCTACTGTGCTTCAGCTGCCAGTCGAGAGTCAGTCAAATTACTTATAATAATTGAAGCCGCAGGAAAAGCGCGAGCTCCATGTAAGCAACACACAATCCAGAAAGAAAAATGACTTTTAAAGATCCCTCTAGACTAGACAGTGATAGAATTTTCGAAGACGTTTGATCTGCTTATTTGGTAATTTACGTGTTTTCAAGGTGTCTTTGTGTGCACATGCCTGCCTTTGCTTTTAGTGTTGACATGCCCAGGAAGTGGCATTCAATACGTACTCTACAATAGCGGTGCTAATCCGCTGCCAACCTATAACAATCACCTTGTAAACTGCGGAGCAAAGGTAGAAAGTCGTTTGCCAACCTCCGCTGATTTGCCCTGTATCAAGTTTGTGCTCAACACGCACAGGGAGAAATTCCCCGAGCATAACTTAACGACTTTGTTCTTTTATGCTAATGGAGCAGCTAACACCATGACCATGAGTGCCAATGGAGAATTAAGTACATCTCGACTATCACAGGCACAGCGGAACCAAGTATTTCCCGGAGCTACGGCTGCCATGTGCATACCAGCCTGCCAACAGTCGGTAAGATTAGGCGGCTATGACCTGTCAGTTTAAAAGCTGACACATATATTCATAATGTAATGGTAACAGCAGCAGGTAAACACTAAAATTTGAGGGAATAATTATTATTACTACCCTCTGATTATTGACTCCCATTATACCAAGAGTACATAACCCCCCAGAGTGTGCAACGCCGATCCAGCTCTGCATAGGGTCTTGGTCGAGCGGAATCGGGGTGTTCTGATGTCATGCGTACACTCCACACCAGCTCAAGCCCGGTCTCGAGGCAGGGCACCATTGTTTTTGATCCAAGAGTACCCGCGACTCCCCGGGTTCCCCTCAGATGTGTACGGTATTATGACACAAAGATCCGATTCCGCTCAACCAAGACCCTATACAGAGCTGGATCAGGCGTTGCACACTCTGGGGGGTTATGTTCTCTTGATTATACCCATCATACCAAGCAGTCAAATATTCCTGCATATTTTACTCCTTAGTGCTCTATTGACTGCTTATACTATTTGACTGCTTAGGGTTGCGCAGTTGAACGGTGTCTAGTGCATGGTCACTGTACTTTACTGGGTTGCATTAGCTGCATGCAGTACACCATACGTGCTGGTATCGAGTAGGTGATATGGTGAAATCCTAAAACGGGTATTCATGAGGTTATCGTTCTCGAATTTGAAATACGGACTGTTTGTCGCGATAGATCTAATATTGACTTCGTACTTGGTCAGTATGGGAAATAAAAACCCTGTAAAGGACCGAAGCTTTTCTTTCCTGTATTGACCTCGTAGTACCTGTAGACAAACCAGGCAAGCCACTCGGAAAACCGGAAAGTTATCGCCGGATCATGTTACTCTCTGTAGTGAGAAAGGTACTGACGTCAGTTATTACTAAACGTAGAAATGAAAGAAGATAATCTTAAACCATAATTATGCTGTGACTTGAGCACAAACTGTCTGATTTTCAGTCAGAGGTAGGGGTGTTCGGATAATGCTCGAAAAGGTGGCAGTTTCTGCTCGGAAAGCAGTGAAATTGGCAGAACCATACAAACCTTATGGCGGGCAATTCCTCGAATTCTGCTCCATTTCTTTATCCTCATACCAAACATGCGTGAAACGTACCAGAAAAATACTGAATTCTGCCAATTTTTCAGCCGGCATTATCCGCATATGCCTAGTCAGAGGACTTGGATTACTGAAACTTCTGTTAACAAACAAGTAATGTCCAATGTAGACGACATAATACATACTATGTACTATTCCACTAGCATATCCTACTTCACGACATGAACACTACGGCGAAACATATGTCGTGTGAAACTACTTGTTATCGTAGTTAACTTGTCCACAACCATGTCATACATGAAGACTCTGGAGTACTGTTAGATACTGGCGTCCGGTTTTGTACAATTCGGTTTCGCAAAGCTTCCCCTTTCTTTATCTCTGATATTGCTGGCCCACCCAAGCTGGGTGGTGTGTTTCCTTGCTGCTTCGAATTGTAGTTGGACCGCATTGTCCAGATTTTAACTGGTCTCTTCATCGCCCTGCAACGGTCGGCATTCTTTGTTGCCATGGGACTTAGCTTGTGCACATTTACGCTGCGTTCACCTACCCTGATTGGTACTACGGTACCATAACCTTGAGCCGTCCAAGCTGGAAGGCTGCTGGTTTGCGCACTGGAGATGTGTTGGAGCTAGGTCTCAGGTCTTCGAATGTCTCAGTAGCCTGTCAGCTTTGTGCCATGTTATTCACTTTCTGACTGCTTTTTACCTTTTTACAGTCGTTGAAAGATGCTTCATAACTCGTTTCCATGTGATGTCTTTTATTTTATATACTGGCTCAGTAACCAAGTTAAATTCCTTACTTTCTATAAACAAAGCGAAACAAAGTTCAAGTGTGCTATGTCATGATAAATCTAATGTTGCCCTCAATCTCTCATGCTCGGTCAATACAGGAGATATAGATATCGTAAAAGACCTCAGCTTTAGCTCAATCGTTTGCTTGTTCAAGAAGTCATTTATTTACTTCGTGCAATAACTATACTTATGGTGGACCCCACGTGAATTACTGCGATTTTCACTAAAATCGCCCCGAAAGAGGGTTCTCCTTTTACTAGAACAGGTGAAGCTTTCATTTGAGAAAAAAACACTCAATGCCCATCTGATCTGCATTGCCTGCTTGTCTCATCTCGTTAGTTATATAAGTACGAATCAGTAAGAGATCATTGAGAAAGGAAACATTGATAGGGATTGCTCATGCAAAGTATGTACATACTTCGAAGTACATATCTTGGCACAGCATTTGAAATTGCATTTCACGCGGTTATTGGTGGTGTGAATACTTCTGAAACCTAGCGTCAATGAAAATGTCAATGATCACGTCAATGATAACGTCAATAATAATGTTGACGCACTTGTAGTGGTAATGGGTTCGCAGCTGCTCCTCAGCATCTTTTGAACCTTCATGGTCTGCATTAACATGGTTAAACTTCACCTAGGGTTCCCAGTAAAAAGGCAGTTGCCTGTTGGGACTCTCCTAGTAAATAATAAAAACTTCTACTATTTCACATTGTTCTTAAAATGGTCATTCTCGTGTGTTGGGTTTACTATCTCACTACGCTGTTCGTGTGTCTACAGCGAGAGAACGGGCAACGCTCAAGGGTTTGATTCAAGTCAAGTAGCTCGCCGTACAGTTTGAATTTGCAGTGGCCAGGATGAATGATTACATCTACATCCCACAGCTGACCACATTGCTCTGCTTATTTGTTATGTAATCGAGCATACTCTTTGAAGCATTAGCACACAACTGCATTTTGTTATTTGGTTACTTGAATAATTCATGGCACTCCTTCTGAACAGATCGCCACGGATACAATCGTGGAAATTCAATTTTGTTCTATTCGGTGTGTACTCCATGGGCAGCGGCAACTCTTTACAGGCTTGTTTTGCTGGTGAATTTATTGATATCAGAAATCAATAGCACCACGGTTTTAATGGACGTTGGCTGGAATTTCCAGACAAGAGAAGGGACATTCATGCATGGCATAATTATAGTTCTCACTATGCATGGTTGTTTATGGCGGGTTGCAATCAGAGCCTTTCCTTCCTCGACTATTATACCCCGCCGGATATATTATTATTATTATTATTATTATGAAAAGCATGTCCGTGTAGGTGGCGGGGGTGCCACTTTCGTTACTGCCATTCAGGATTGATTGAAGAGTAATACGATACAATGAAATGACAGAAGTGACGTCAAAAAAAACGTTTGCAACAACACCAATATGACTAATGGAAAACTTCATCCAAAGTATAAAATAAAATAGAATATGCATACAACATGTCTGGTCACGTCCGTCCTGTTGGGTGGGGCGGGCTCCACGCCGGATATATTAATTATATTTATCCCATGGTACGGTACTATAGGCCTGTTTCAGCCAGGGAGTAGTACAATACCCTTGGGTATTGTACTACTCCCTGGTTTCAGCCAATCAGGAGCCTTGCTGGCCGGGAAATAATAGCCAATACAATCCCGCGCGGGATTGATATTCATTATTAACTGGGTTCACTTCTACCGTACCTACGGTGCACCCTGCATAATATAATAATTATAAGGCCAAACTAAAGAAGGTGTGTGGTTCGACTAACATGGACATTTTTTTACGGGCGGGCGGATTTTATTTTTTTTAATATATATTTTTAGTACAATCATGTAAATACACTGTATATTATAGCAATAAAAACTGCTTTATGGCAGTTTTCTAAAAAAAGTTATTGTGTTCTCGTCCATGGACCCCGTCTAAAAAGTAAGAAATTAACGAAATGTGATAGCCGAAAATTAAAATTTCACACAAAACCTCACAATAATCACAACACTTGAAATGCTGCTTTCAACAATAAACTTGTACCGCACAACAATTGGCAACATGCATGTCATGCATGCATAGGAAAGAGGATCACGAGGGGAAAAGGTCTTATTATTATTATTATTAAATTTTGAATACGGCAGTCCCACAGGCCTAGGGCCTTTTACAGGTCTTCTGCATGTAGCTTTTCATTCTGTATGTGATTATTGTGAGGTTTTGTGTGAAATTTTAATTTTCGGCTATCACATTTCGTTAATTTCTTACTTTTTAGACGGGGTCCATGGACGAGAACACAATAACTTTTTTTAGAAAACTGCCATAAAGCAGTTTTTATTGCTATAATTTCTTTTGTTTTTTCTGTCACCAATGGAATGCCCTATATCAATAATTATGTAAATGATGGCCTTCACATCATGTCAATTACACCGTATCATACGCATTGATGTGCAAGCCTTTTCTTGCAGAAAATGGCACTAGCATGTTCTTCTGCGGGGATACATGTGAGTGTAGTGGTGGACAGTGGTGATACTTTTTTTATAAGGAGGTCATTCTGTGCATGTTGCTGTAGCAGAATTTCATTATTATTATTATTATTATTATTTTATTTATTTTACTAGGGTGTTTCATGACTGTCATAAAATTGTCTTGCCTTTCAGATATTTCAGATTTCCCCACCCTCGATCAGATTTATTTGAGAAATGTAACAAGGTACTTGTCGCAGATGTTTTTGTTGATTCTGTGTTTATAATGGTTTATAATCATGGGTTATCGTGATAAGGTCATCCTGCATCATATTGCACTGAAATCGTAATCCTGTTGATGTCGATACAACTTTTGGAAGTAGTTCAATGACTTCAAACTGGTAGTCCACGATTTTCTAAAACAACACAAAGGAGGAACAATAAACATGTATTAAAATGTAAACAAATACATTGCTGAGTCCAAAACCTCGTTCCAACAACTACACTGATCCTGAGGATAAAAGGGGATAGGCTTTGGTTGGAGGTACTGAGAGATAAACAAGGCACTCCATAATAATAAAATCTTACACATCTTTTGGTGAGTATGAATGATATCCAGTCGAACCTCTTTAGGACGAACACCAAGGGACCAATGGTATTTATTCTGTGAGTTTGTCTTAACCTATTTTATAACCAGTGAATACAATTATTTCTCCAATAGACATACGAATAGATTTCTTCTACTTCCTCCGCGTCATCGAAATTGTCGCAGTTTGACTAGTGACTTGTCACTTGTTACTGACAACTCCATAAGCTAAGCCATTCAAAACTTATTACACAGTATGATAGTCTGAAGACTAGAGTAACGTTCCAGGACAGTTGGACTGAGAGTTTTCATGCAGAGATGAAGTCGTCGTCGTCGCTGATGTCAATGGACGCAAAAATATCGTTCCGAAATATTTCAAGGAAGGTTGAAAGTTGGTCGCGCCTCATATCAAACGCTTTCACTTTCTCCACAGGACAAGAGCTGCTATGCTTGACGTCTGCTAGCTCTGGATGATTTCTACTTCACCACTAACGAAGCCTAGTAAGAACACACGATCGTTGCGAGGTTGCTTGATTACCGTCGGCGGAATCACCTCGATCTTGAAATGAACTTTTTTTTAGCCGTGGCATGCCCATTAATTTTAGCTGTGTGGTCACAGCTCATGCAGGTAAGTGTACTATCACGTCCAGCGCGCCGTCTTTTTCAGCATCACTGATACCATGGTACGGCACCTGCGCGTGCATCACTAGCACTACTTGTAGAGTCTACACGGCTCTTGCAGGTACAATCATGTACTGAGTGTCTCAGCCAGAGCGACAAATTTTATCGCTGTTGCAGGCATTTAGTTTGCTGACCCCTCGATGTTTCTCCAAGCGCTGCCACTTGTTCCACGAAGTCATTCTCACCCCAGCTAAGGTAAAACAATGATGCGGCTTGAGTGAATGGCCATAAGCACGAGAAATGTGCGGGCTGCAACGCCTGACTGATCTCAGCGAGTCGAAATTACCATCGCACCGACAGCAGCGAAGAAATTGCGTCTAGTACAAAAATTCCAGCTTCCAATAACAGAAAATAGAACTTTGGCGTCACCCTATACTGATGACTATCGCCTATATCTGATTCCTTGCCTCTGGTACGAGTGCTGGTGAGTAAATAACACGTTTTATATCAAAAGTCAAACTGCGACAATTTCGATGACGCGGAGGAAGTACAGCGAAAGATTCTAAGCCACACCAACTCATTGACTCGTCTCGTATGAAACAAATGAGTCACTAGAGAGGTTCTGCAAAACGAAAATGCGTAAAAAGGTTCGTTCATTGCCATGAAGTGCAAAACTTCGCAACTTGGGACGCGAAACTTGCAGGGAACGCGAAATGAACTGTCGTACTCGTAGGACATTTCGTGAGATCGGGTCATGGCGTACGTGCACTTGGCCCGCGCAAACTACGAAAATGTGCAGAACGCAAAGTTCGTGCAAAAATTCGTACACACTTTCGCAAGGACTGTCGAGAAACTTCGTTCGAATTTTCGTTTTGCAGAACCTCTCTACTGAACGTTTCTTTAACAACATGACGGCAACTGAAACAGCAACAGAGAAAGTACGATACATGTACAGCACATTCTTGCAGGTACTACAAACAGATTGCAGATCGTAATTCTTGCTTTGGCGGCACGAAACTTTATTTGGGGCAGTGCAATCTCGGCGGTACTCACAAATAATAAATCAAACAGCCCAGACTCAAGTAAACAAATCCAATCATACAAGTACGAGATCTTCACGAGACGAGACTGCACCCATTGGCTTGTTTCGTATGAAGCAAACAAGTTTACTGAACCTCTCCACAATGGAGATTTTCCCTGATATGCGAATTTATTTTGCAAACTCGGTCAATGGGTCCTTGAACCTTTCCCTCCAGATTGGGAACTGCCAACGATAGTATGCCACTGACCAGTGCCTTACTTGTAACGTTCCAATGTACAATGAATATGAGTATTTCGACAACACATTTTAACATACCGGTAAGCCTTATATTACCGTGAACTCGCGTTCTTCGTACACTGTAGACAAGGGCAAAGAGATAAAAATGGATCTAAATCCGAATAAAATCAGCACACGTTTCCGTAAATGAAAGGGTGAGCATAAGCAAATGAATCGAAGGAAACCGGTCAACTCAGAGATCACCTGTCATCGAGCATTCCGTAAAAGGAGGCCTCGGCAGCGGAAAAGCTAAATTATTTAGAAAAGAGATCCTGTCAGCTTTTCCATTATTTATTGCATTCCGCCCAAAATCAGCACACTTTTCGTAAATGAAAGAGTGAACACAAGCAAATGAATCAAAGGGAACTGGTCAACTCACCTGTCAGTAATATTCCGCGAAAGGAGGTCTCAGCAGCGCCGAAACGAAATAAGCCAGGCCAGGAGTCGAAATATCCGAAACAGCTCATACAAGAAGCAGTTCCAAAGAAGGAAGTTCCTTGCGCATGCACATCCGAACACGGACTGCACTGCAACACAATGTCTGCCGTGCAGTGCACAGCACGCGGCTTCCACCCGTTGGTAGATCTAATACCGAGCACCTTACGTAGAGATTTACGTAGCCTAAGTGAAATACCGAGCACCTTACGTAGAAAGTTACGTAGCATAGCGGTGTCGTTTTTCTTGCCATGTGAACACAATAATAGAAAAGCTGACAGGATCGCTTTTCTAAATGTACTGCCTTTAGACACCCAGTACATCGGCATTATTACGCAGTGTTATGCCATACATGTTGTATAAAGGGATCACTGGCTAATACTTTGAAACATTGTGTAGCTCTGGAACGAGAAGAGAATAACTTCAAGCGGTGACTCTGACTGTCCAAATCATCAAGCAAATGAAGAACGATGCGAGTTGAAAGTAAGTTCGGGAACTACTTCGAACTCAATCGAAGTACAAATTGTACAATGTACCGGTACATGTATTGCTAGTTTGGTGTCGGCGTGCACGAATACATGGGCTTTTTCCATCGACGCTTCCTGTGCTTGCACACATGCCAGCAACTTACCGGTACAGGTGAACTATCGTTCCCAATACACGAGGAAAGTGCAATCTCGTCTGTCCTTCATCCCAAAACAGAAGGCCGTCCTTAATCTGGAACGAGGCAATCACTCTCAACCGGACGGTCACTTCAAAATAAGTCTCGCCAGTCTGCCGGTGGTCGTATCGAGTAGACTCTACTACCAGCACAAGGCAGCAGTCGTACCACTCACTGCACTGCACTGCAGTACAACTACAAGTCAAGTCCAAAAGGAGCCGCCTGCGTCCGCAGACTCACGCTGCACAACACGTAGACGTGGACGTGTTCAGTCCACGTACGTCAGTCACACGACAGCCCGCCGAAAAAAAGTTACGGTCGGGCTGAAAAATGTACGGTCGGTCGGGTGAGTCGAACCACAGACCTTCTTCAGTGTGGCCTAATATAATCTTTTATTTCAGGATTACCCAAAGGCTTTACGCCTATCTGGGGGATCTCCTATTTGCATTGGCATGCACCCACCCCCTCTCGATTCGATGCAAAGACTTGCCACTGGAGTCCTTTCAATCAGAAACCCAGAGACAAAATTCACTAAACAGAACCGTGAGAGGGTGGAAGCATGCCAATGCAGAGTGCACCGTCGGTGCAGTAAAAGTGAAGCACTCACCTGAACTGAGAGAACCTACCTCCGCCTCTACGTCCAAAACCAGATCCCACACAGACTACGAACTCCAATCACTATTCAACTCAACACCACGACACAACGGAGACTTCGAAGTGCATCAGTTCTCATTCACTCTTTGTAAGCTCGAAACCAACACAAAGTATCACCATCCGAGTGAAAATTACTAATTGCAGGTGCTGCATGTGCAAGGAGAGATACCGTAACAACACGAAAAGTAAAAGACATGAAAGTGAGAGGAAAAATCTTGTGCAGAATATTCAACGATGTGAAAGAAGAAGAGCTCAGCAATGCATGTGTGATGTAGATAAGGTGTGAAGAAATCTGCATGCCAGATGCGACCTGCGGTGATTATCATGACATTGTATCCAGTACGATTACCACAAGGGCCATCTAAAATGTAGATGCTGCTACAAATCCAGTCTGCCTATAACAAGGTCAACGTTCTTCTCTGCATAGTGGCCGATAGTGATACAACCAAGAGTCTTGATACAACGAAATGCACTTTACACACTGGTGCCAATGTCCGACGTTATGCACAATGACATGTAGTTACTGCCTGATTGATTGATTCATTGATTTTTATTTCACGGATCCTCCAGAGGCAAATAGATGCCTATCGAAGGGAGTCTCCTAAGCAATTATGGAAAATGAGAAAGTATGTTCGTGAGGGAGAAGAGGTAGAAGATACATTAGAATAGAGTACAGAAGAAGTAAATTCAGTACTTAGGGTAGTACATAGCATGCTGATCATAATGAGAATTAGAAAAGCAGCATTGCGGACTACTATAACTGACATATACACAAACTATTGAAACTATCATACATGTGGTTAAGCTAGACACAAAAGTCAGGAATACCTTTCAAAGAAAACATAGATTGCGAATGATACCGACGAACAGCAATACAATTTCGCTGTTGTAGAAAGTGAACGAATATCTTCAGGAAATTTATTTCAGGCAACACTCAAAGAAAAAGGGTTGATTTACGAAAGTAGGTGCCAGCTTTAGGAAGAATTATGGATGAAGGGTGACGGCTGCTTTGGGAAAAGGGAAGCTGGAAGTGAAACAACAATTGGGAGAATACATGGTGTTTTGGGAGAATACACGGTGGAAATAGACAAGGCCAAGAACCTGCCGTCGCCATGCTAAAGATTCCCAGGAGGACAGAACCTTGAGGTCTTCTTTAGAAGTCGTCCAGTCAGGCCGACGCCTGAGTTTACTATTTAAGTATGCTTCAGCAGCAGTAGCCTGCAGTTTATAAAGGGCTGTGGACATGGTGGCTGAAACGGAAAACATCTAAACGGGAACAGCATATTCAAGGAGGGGACGAACATAACATTTATACAAAAGATTCACAGCATGAAAAGGAAGGAAGTTGGACATGTGGTTTAAAAGAAAAACCCGACCACGAAATTTGCTTGTAATGTGTTGAATATGGGGGGAGTCAGATTGAGTGAAGGAGTGAGGATGATGCCCAGATAGCGGTGGGAAGAGGGCTGGGTCAGTAACGTACTGGCCATGGTGACGGTCCTGGGATCAGGTGGGTTTGATTTAGGTCTGCAAAAGGGAACATGGACACATTTGTTAGCATTGAAAACTGCTTCAGCTTTATGGGACCAGTTCACACATCTATCAAGGCCCAGTCGCAGGGAGGCAGTGTGCGCGGCGGGTACGACAGTAGGCGGAGAACCGCAGACCATGTTGGAATCATCCGCAAACAGAGTCAGATCGCTGGATTGGGGAATGCTGGGAAGGGAGTTGATAGAAAGGTTGGATAATAGAGGGCCTAGGTGGGAGCCTTGTGGCACACCAGCGGTGAGCGACATATGGGTTGATAATGCAGTGCCGACCCGCACAGACATCAATCGGCCTTCCAGGAAGTCCATCAGCCACGCGAATGAGTCAAGTGCACACCAACCGGACAGACATGAGGCTAGGAGGCGATGGCTGGTACGATCAAATGCTTTCGAGAAATCGAGAAAGACGGCATCGCACTGGGCCCGGTTATCAAATGCAGAGCTGACAGTTGATGTGACATACACAAGTTGGTCAACCGTGCTTCGGTGGTGGCGAAACCCGAACTGTTTCGGCGACGGTGTTTGTGTTTCGCTACAAACGCGTACACCTGGCGGCTGATTAACGCTTCATAGCATTCTGCCACACCATTTAGCAGAGATATCGGCCGGTAGTTAGCAGGGTCATTGCGACTTCCCTTACCCTTGTAAATTGGGGTAACGATTGCAACTTTCCACTCAAGGGGTTGGGATCGGTAAGTGGTGCAGCGGTTAAAGAGAGCAGTGAGGGACTGGGCGAGCACTTCTGCTGTCTCTCGTAGGATCCTGTTAGGAAGACTGCCAGCTGTAGACTTTCGCACACTTAGGGTCGACAGTGCCTTGCATACTTCTACGATAGACAGAGGGCGGATAGCAAATGTTTCCGAAGAAGAAGGCGTGGCGAGATCACGATAATCTGCACCCGACGACGGTGTAGCTTGACTATTCTTGGCGAACTGTTTACAGAAGATGTTCGCTTTCTCAGGTTCGGTAACCGCTAAGGTATCGACTCCTTGGATTTCAGGTATAGCGGTGTGAGGACAATTGATGTGGCACATTTTCTTGACTCTCTTCCACCAGTCATAAGATCCTCGATCTGCATGAAGGCCTTCCGACATCTGGTCGTAGAAGTGACGTTGAGCTGTACGGATGCCAGCGACGAGGCAGTTCCTTGAAATGCGATATGCAGCCCAGCACGCAGGGGTATTGACGCGTTTTGCTGAAGCAAATAGTCGATCTCGACGTTGACGGAGGCGATGGTGCACAGAGGTGAACCAAGGCTTTCCATAACGAATTGTTCGTTTTCTAACCTTCGGAACAAAAGATGATATGGCTGTGTCAACTAGTGTTCGCCAGGAGACCCATGCTTCATCTGTGCTACTGGCTGCTTGTACAGCAGTGAGAAGAGGGAGGCTCCAAAGGTGGTTATTAAGTGCGGGCCAGTCTGTGGCTGCATAGTTGCATAGTTGTTCACGAGCAATTCAGAGTGCACTAGTTGCTGGGAACGAGTCTGTATTGCGAGATCAAACACCACAGGACAGTGATCAGAGACAGGGGGAAGTGTGGTGAGGTTGTGGATGAGGAATGGTTGGTTACAGAGAACAAGGTCCAGGAGAGAAGAGCTCTGACCTGCGGCGGAGAAACGTGTTGGGCGGTCACGAACAAGTTGTGTGTGTGTGTGTGTGTTTTTTTTTATCACATTGCACATACCTACGGAAGAAGGGGGAGACAAAACGAAGACGAAACTAAAAAGACAACAATGGGTGTGTAGGCGCTACATGAGCTGCGCTGGTGAGATGCGGTGGACTCCTCCGACCAAGGGTCTCGGGATCGGCGTACACAGCAAGCACCATGGGAGGGGGGGCGAGAGGAATGGCGGAGAGAGAGAGAGAGACACAGAGAGAGAGAGAGAGAGAGCGAGAGAGAGCGAGAGAGAGCGAGAGAGAGAGAGAGCGGAGAGAGAGAGAGAGAGAGAGAGAGAGAGAGAGAGAGAGAGAGAGAGAGAGAGAGAGAGAGAGAGAGAGAGAGAGAGAGAGGAGAGAGAGAGGGAGAGGGAGAGGGAGAGGGAGAGGGAGAGGGAGAGGGAGAGGGAGAGGGAGAGGGAGAGGGAGAGGGAGAGGGAGAGGGAGAAGGAGAGGGAGAGGGAGAGAGAGAGAGAGAGAGAGAGAGAGAGAGAGTGAGAGAGTGAGAGAGAGAGAGAGAGAGAGAGAGAGAGAGAGAGAGAGAGAGAGAGAGGGAGAGAGAGGGAGAGAGAGAGAGAGAGAGAGAGAGAGAGAGAGAGAGAGAGGGAAAGAGAGAGAGAGGGAGAGAGAGAGAGAGAGAGAGAGAGAGAGACAGAGAGAGAGACAGAGAGAGAGACAGAGAAAGAGAGACAGAGAAAGAGAGACAGAGAAAGAGAGACAGAGAAAGAGAGACAGAGAAAGAGAGACAGAGAAAGAGAG